TTTTGTTTGGGAGGTTTGACGTGGATTCGTGCAGCTTAAGACCGATTCCTTTTCTGTTCTTTGTCTCTCAGGTATCCACTCTGGCATGGTGGTGGCCGGCGTGGTGGGTCTGAAGATGCCTCGCTACTGCCTGTTCGGCGACACCGTGAACACGGCCTCGAGGATGGAGAGCAACGGAGTGGTGACTATGCTAACATTGTTAATAAACCCGCCAGCCGGCAAAATGTGCTAAATAACCGGCGGCTGTAATATAAATAACTGCAACGGCGTTCATATTTCCCTCAGTCGAAATTCATGTAGATTAGAAGAGAAAACCATTTTCTGCTTAATGATGCCACTGCGCTTGTTGCTTTTGAGTTGATGCAACAGGCTAATCACTTCATTTGCTTTCCATTACTTACAGTAATAGGAGTTGATGTCTTGTTGTGTGGGAGAACTGCTCTGTGATGGAAAGAAAGTAAATTAAAAAGGAGGAAGCAGTTTTTGCAGGCTTAATTTCACCCCCAAATACATTCCCACCAAGCAAGAAAACTCTACAATGAGTATAGTCTGCTAAATAGTTTGGTTTCTTTTTAAGAGTTGAGAGGAGCTTGTGTTTACGTGCTCAGCTTTAGCTTAGTTTGCTGTATGTGCGTCTGTCTGAGCAGGGCATGCAGATACACATCAGTCAGACCACCAAAGACCACCTGGAGCACGAGCCCTACATCATCGAGGAGAGGGGCAAAATCTTCGTAAAGGTGAGCGGTCGCCAAGGACGCGGATCTTTCGCTACCTGTCGTGTTCTCTGTAAATGATGGCCGGCCTCTGATTGAGATGGACGTTATGATTACCGCTTTACAGGCCGTTACAGTTCCAGTCTTGCAGCTGTAAATTTTAAGCTCTTAATTTCAAGACGAGGTGTATAATTTTAAAGACGGGACACTGACCTTTATGTAGAGTTGAGTACGACTAAAAATATCCACTCTGAGATAGTTTGGCCCCGACAGTCCAAGAGTTTTAGTTTTGGTTAATCAATTTTATAAAAAATAAAACGTATACAAAGCAGATTCATCAAGTCACCCTGAAAACGATTCATACTCGTGCCGAGCTTTGATTAATAACGAGTTTTTATTTGATTGGTCAGATTCTTCCGACTGGAAATTACATAAACAAGCGACAAAAGACCTTGTGTTGGAGATTGTAATTATAAATATTAACCACTTCCGTAGGTTTTTCTCATTAATCTGTGGCAAACCCTTTATTTGCCACCACAGCACAGAGGTCTTATTATTGCTAATAAGGTTTGTTTAATCTCTCCACTGGGATTTTGTATCGCTCCATCCCCAGATTCAGGTCCGGCTCGATCGCTCCAAAATGCTCATATTGTGTTCTGTGAATCATTTCTTCACCACTTTGCCTGTATGTTTCAGTCCAGTGTCTGCACAAGACCAAGTTTTTCTGCAGACTGCCTGAAGTATTCCTCCAGAATCATAATGTTCTCTCTTGACGCCAATTACTCTGACAAGGTTGCTTGGCCCACTGGCTGAAAAACATCCTCCAAGCATTCCATTCCCATCCACCATGTCTGACCTTTGAGACGGTGTTCTTGACATTGAACGCGTTTATTTTCTATTTGCTAAACAAATGTTGCGTCTTTGTGTCCAAGCAACTCCATGATGACCGACAGCTTTCTTCTTAGTCCAGGTGCGAAGGTTTGTCGGGCTTTTGAGGGCCTTTAATGGAGACGTGAAGTCCTGTTTGGTTGGATTCCACAGAGACCAGCATTGTGACGTTGGTACCGAAGTTGCTCAGATTCATCACGACGGCTTTGGTGTAGATCCTCGGAGTCTTCTTGGCCTCTCACCATTCTTGCCAGCACTGGGGTCTCTTTCAGCTTCCTACCACGCCCTTTGGGATTTTTCAAAAACACATGGATATGACTTCAGATATAACTCACGAGGCTCTTTGGTTTTAACCGACATGACTTGCATTTGACGAGTAAACTGGAGAGGGAACTGTATCAGTATTATAAGGTAGAAATTACCAGGACCATTTGGAATTTTTTGGATTTCTGGACAATTTCAAGAAGTGTAAATAATTTTAGAAAATGCATTTTTAGTTGAAATGTAAAGAAAACATAGAATTAGTTCAATATCACAAAGTCTTACCATCTTTAGTCATTTATTAATGTCTTTTCCAACCAAAAGAAGCATTTTGGTCAAATAAAAATACACTATAAGTCAAAATTTTGGCGTGGGTGTGAACGGTTTTGTGCTAAACTGGACACATCCTCCCAACATCTTCCAGGGTAAAGGCTACATGAAGACCTACTGGCTGAAAGGAAAGAAGGATCTATCGTTCAAGACCCCGGCGGAGCTGCGCTACAGCAGCGAACAGAAAGACTCTGAGGACAAGAGCTCTAACGGGTGAGTAGAGAAAAGAAGAGCAGTCGGCACCAAAGAATCCCTCCTCTGCAGCACACAGTGTGGACTCAGGTTGCCCCCTGTTGATTCAGCCAGAGCTGTGCTCATTGCCCCCTGCAGCACAAGACAGCAAACAAACTGGAAGGCTGTTCTAGCTGCTTTCCTGTGTTTGATGCTGCTCATCAAAAACACATTTCTGCCCTCACATGGGGCAGCGCAACCCCTTGGGTTACTGGAGCAACATAAGAAATGGTGAAACAAAACAGGCGAGACACAACACAATAGAAAACACCACTTTTAACAGCTCCTCTCGTCTCATATCAAGCCGCTGAGAGTTATTTTTCATAAAACAAGAAATGTTCCTGCTGCTTTGGTCACTTGCTCCCAGTGCTGTCTTGTTTCTAGAATATGTTTTTTTGGAAACAAAAGGAGAAGTATGATTAATACAGAAACGATACTGGTCTAGAAAGTGATCATGCAGTGTATTGATTTCATGGATAATAGATTAAATACCAAAGACAGACTCACTGTTGCGTGTTTAAAGAAAATGACGCAGACCCCAATAAATCAGCCAGTTCTTTCCTCCTGAGGACAAAACTGGAAATGCTTGTTTGCTGACATCATCATCCCAAGTGTCTGATTTTTGCTGTGAATTCAACAAACTTGTAACTCCTAGCTCCACAAGCACCAGCGCCAAACGCCGGGCTTCCAACCTCCACGTCGCCGGCAACGAGGAGCAAGCGGAAGGGAAACCGAGCCCGAGCAACCTCCCCCCGGACACCCTGCCCACGCCGGAGGCCGCCAACGAAGCCCCCGCCGTTTCAGCCGAGTCTCAGGAGAAGGAGAAATCCAAAAAGACTAAAAACAACAAGGGGGCCAAGTCGGACGCGCCCCAGGGAAATGCAAACCCGGAGTCCTCGCCGGCCGCCGACGGCCTGGAGAACCCAGGTCCTCTGCTCAACAACAAGAGAAACAGCATCAGGCAGCAGTACGCCAAGCTGCCCGCCAACCTGCCCATGCGCAGCGCCTCCTGCTGCATCCTGTGAGCGGGACGAGGGTTTGATACCGAAAACCACGATTGAGATTTAATCGCGGGCAAGACGAAGCCGGCGTTTCATTTTTACTGATGATTTAACAAATTCCAGCTAATTAAATTCCGAGTGATACAAACCGAGGACCAACATCTCCCGCTTAGATTGAAGTAAACTTTGTGCAACATTAAGCGAACGGGAACAGGGTGCTGTTGTATCGATGGCTTAATAAAACCAATTACACTCATAAACTCTGGATTTATCTTCTGTCAGATGGAGAACATTTTCATGCCGTTCATTTGTTTCACTGATTTCATGCATCCTGTCTTTTTTCTTTTTGGTTTCGTGTGATAGAAATCAGCAGTTCGGTTCTATCGTCAGCTTGAATACTGAGAATTTACAGGTTTCACAACACGCCTTCCTTATGTCAACTGTTTAAAAAAAAAAAAAAGGAAGTGCAACATCCTCTACAGTAAAAACAGCACAGAGAAACACCACACACTTGTACTACGGGTATAATAACAGCCACCAGAATGAGTTTGCTTCTATTTTTCTCTCCCTGTTTGTCGTATTACTTCATAAACTCACTGCTACGGAAACTGTATTAAAATGTGTAATGAGAACAAGTTTGTTTTTTTGGGGGGAAATCGACAAATTAAAGCGAGTCTACGGATGCTTCGTTTAATTCACTGAGAGTAGATGTCACCACAGGTTGTATTTGATCTTGTTTAAACTGGGTGTTGACTTCACAGTATTAGGTTCTAGTTTCTGTATGTATCTGCATTGGTTTCACTGTATAATAGTGTTTATTTATATAAAACTTGTTTGTACAGACAACCAAACCCTCGTGTGTTTATTTTTTTTTAAACCAAGTCATGACACCATTTGATTGATGATTTCATGACATCAACCTCCCAGTTACATGTGCAACCACAATGCGTCTGCTCTTGGCTCGAGGCTGGTGGGAACTCTCCATCCTCGCTCTCGAAAAAGGGGGTGACCTACTCTACATGTTCTATAGCTGCGAGAGGGTTTTGTCGCTCAAATGTGAAAGTGTGACACCTGCTGAAGTGACTGACGCTCTCGCAGGACGGTCTCGAAGATGGAAACCCTTCAGCAAATGACGTAATGACTCTTCATGAACTGATATTTAATAGACGAGTGCAGTTTGTTAATTCTAATACAACAAATACTAATTCATTATAAGAAGCTTTAGCCTCTTTCAGACGTGCACTCCTTCCTGTTAAGTGTCAGCTTCACGTCTAATAAGCACTTTTCCGTAAAAGTCTCAAAAACAATCTCACCAGGTCAGTAACATATCTCTTTCAACACTGCGTGGCATCGTATTAACGGAGAGCCATGCACAAGACATCCACGTACTTTGAGTCGTGTGAAGCGATTTGGGGAAGGCTTCATTTGCATTTTAGCACCAATGTTGAACTTCACAGAGAGCGCACAAGTCACAGCTTGTGAACAAGACCGCAAAACACTTTTCTCATTCCCTTTGCACTACAAAACAAGATGTCTATAAAAAATACAGTTAAAAAAAAGCAGCAGGCAAAGTGTAAACTTGTGGATCAGTGGTCATCTCTCTGTGCCAGTGTTTCCTCTGACGCTCGGCTCTGGTCTCAGCTGTAGAAATTGAAGCAGGTTCAAAGGTTTGAACCTTCTCCTCTCGTCCATGCTACACCTCATCTGCCACCAACTGAGGCTAAAGATGGTAAAGCGACATCTCTAAGCACTGCAGTTAAAACAGTACGTTGCTCCCAGGTGTTTGTAAGACTTTCTCCTCTGACTTTATCACATACCTGCAGCATCAAACAGCAGCAGGATCCATATGAGCATATCCAAAGTGAGAGATTGACTTTATTAATTACTTATTATTACACTTTTTTCCCACATGGAGACGTGGATTAGTCAGGACCTAATGGCAACTCAGACTCTATGCTTCCTTCACCTCACATACAGTTCACAGGTTTATAACATGCAATTAAATCATTTGTCACACAGCAAGTTTAAGTCCAGTCTTCTGTTTATTGGTTCTGTATAAATCACTCGATGCACTGTCAGATCTCACAGATATCGTGCATGCCCCATGGCCTCAGAACTAAGCTGAGAGGAAAATTAACAGCGTCTGAATGACAGACCGTCTTCACTTCAAGGGTTTGATGAAGCAAAGGCCTTGTGTGTTCAGCTTTCTCACGACGAAGCTCATACTTCTGCATTCACACGAGCTGCAGCAGTGGACAGATTACCTAAATTACATCAGCAGTTACCTGTCAGTGGTTAACTGGAAGTGCAGCAAGTGGACATTAAAGCTACTGGTCTGCCAAAGAAGGTGCTTCTTTCCACAAAAGGTCCAGGAAATTATTCTGAAATCGCCAGGCTACTGAACAAGAGCAGAGCTGCAAAGAGGATGTGGGTAAATGACTATTGGTCCGGTGTCATCTGCAGACATTTTAACAACCACAAGGAGCCTCGAATTAATGAACAAAGTTAGAAGAATCAGGCACCAGAATGGATCCCTCAGGTTTGGAAAAAAAGAGAAGTGAGAAGGAAAGGGGGTTTACAAAGTGAATCCCTGTTAGCTGCATCTTATTAAATCTGCACTCGCTCATCTCGATCCATCTATCTCGCAACAGTTCGAGTTGGAGTGCACAGAGGTTCCTAAGCTCACCAAATCCACCGTCCAATTCAGGCTCCAAATCTTCAGGCGCAATTGTCTGACCTCAGTGGTTGTGAAGTTGGTTATTCCTGTCTTAGTCACCCGGTGATAACACTCTGCCATTATGTGACTGGCTGCATGTGTGTGTGTGTGCGTAAGGTTGGAGGCTGAAAGGTTCCTGTGATCTTTTAATGACAGATAAGTGACATAATTTAAGATCCTCTTATTATCTCATAACCAAAAGAGGCGAGTGCGTAAGCTGTGTACAGTACGGAGGTGAGACAGGTAAGGGCTCATTTCAGGGGGTGTGCGCTCCTTCACACACACACACACACACACACACACAGATCTTCAGCTGTGCACTCCCTGCTGATGTTTCCTTGTGAGATGTCATTACACGATAAAGAGGAAGCCATCAGGAAACCGCTTAAGCACTATTTCCTGTCTGTTGCCAGGGTGACAGACCTCATTCTGCAGTTGCAAAGTTTACCGTGACTTTACTCGAGTTAATTTCTTGCAGAAGGGCTGAGTGGGAGGCGAAAACAAAGAGGCAGGTGTGTTTGGTGTCTCCGGTGCATTCTGGTGGGCTGCATCCTATCCAGACACTCCTCACGGGCCAGCTGGGTCTCAGCGGCACCTTTAACCCCCCAACATCTGACAACAATTAACATCTGCGAGTGCTCGGTGTTCTCTCTTGGACGGCCCGAGCCTCGGCCAATGAGCTCTTCAAGCACAGCTGGTTGCCATTCAGATAAATATATAGATCAACACAGGGCTCTAGAAGCAGCGGACACTTCCTGATTCGAAATGAATCACTGAATTCACAGCTTCAGAGCGGCGGACATGTTTGCTGGAGCTGCCGACACTGATTGCTCTGTTGTCGGTTACTCTGGATTGTATTCTACATAATCCTCTCGCGTATTTATATGTCACCTATTTAGATAAGACTTCAAACGGTTTAACAGAGCTTCATTCATGAGAGAGATGTTGGACTTTAGCTGTTTATTAGCTTACGATGTGATAACAATGAACCTCACAAGTCGAAGCGGGGTTATGATGTTTTTATGCCATGGAAAGTTACTCATTAAGGGACATCCATCCATATATTATCTATACACCGCTTA